TAATATAAATTAATAATAAATGAATTTAGTTTAATGTAATGTATGAATAATCAAGTTGGGTGATTCAAGTGCCATTGACTAGAGCAATTGGCTACAAGCAAAGCAATTGTCCTCAATCACAATGAATGGAGACATTTTAAGGACCTAGATGATCCATCGACGTGTTTGGGCTAACAGTGTGGTGGCGAAGTTGTTCTGCACCGCAATTTGTTCTGTTTGACAAAACAACATTTTGTATGCGTTCTGAAAAAACTGCAGCTGAAAGATGTGTTTTTACATCAAATCTGGTTATCTGCGGTGACTGCTACAAAGATGTGGTCTAAATTTTTTCATCTTTTTTTTTAATAAGTAGCTACCGAAACTTTTTAAACAGTAACTTCTTTTTCAGTAACATCACAGCTAATTCTTCAAAAGGTTACAGCTGCCCCAAAACAAACCCAATCAACCTAGAGGACAGACGTATCAAAGCTCATACATCAATCGGATGACGGATCTAAGGGGTGGACGAAGTAAAAATTTTGGATAACATCAGAGTAGTTGAACGAGAAAATGTGGCTCAGTCGCACGGCAACAAGTTAATTAATAAGGAGTCAAATGTAAGCAAAATATCAAATTCTTTAAGCCTTTTGTTTTCTCTCCCTCCCTTGTTCTTTTATGTTTTATTATTTGGGTATGATTTAAAGACAGATATTAGTTCAACAAGTTATATCATTCACTTATTCCCATAGGTTTGTAGCTTGCCGACTTAGCCAATGCGTCCAAATTGTTCCATAAAGAGCTTTGTTCCGAAAGTATGAGATATTGAAAGCTTAGTAAGGAACCTTGTAATTGTTACGTATCTAAAGAAAACTGAACCTAAACCAAAATAAGCCCTTTGAATCTATCTTAACTCCTTAGTTCTGCACTTTGAATCTTGATGAGAAAATTTATGTGCTCACTCTATATATTTTAAACCAATCTCACACTATTTTGCTCTATTTATTAGGGATAATTACATACTTACGAATTAACCGTATTTTTTTGGACAACCAAACCGATGTTGCTACGATCTTACTGGGCATCGGCTGAAGAGTGACCAGAGGGTATAGTCATAATCTCTTCTTCAAACACATCATTTGAGTCGTATTGATCACCGAGATTAATTTCTTCGTATTCACGACCAACAACTTCTACATTGTGCTCTTCATCGATTGTATAAGTAAAATAAATATCTGTCATTTCAGTCCCAATCTGATTTAGGATCTATTTGGGGCAGCTGCAGCTTATTGAATAATCTGTTGATAAGTTAGGTGGGATGACTATTAAAAATTTTTATTTTTCTTAAAAAAATCAGACCGCTGTCAGAAAGTTGTTGTGAGAAAACACTGATTTCAGAGTTTTTAAATCGCATAAGTTGCCAAAATGCAGAACACTCCAAGTGCATTTTCAAAACGTCTCTGCACCAAATAAACTGCCCCAAACGGAGCCTTTAACGTGTCATCTTTTATGAAAAAAAAAAAAACTTTACTAACCCTGAAATATTAATTTTGGTTATTAATGATCAGGTGCATTTTAAAGACGTCACCGCACCAAATAAGCTGCCCCAAACAAAGCCTTTAACGGGCCATCTTTTATGAAAAAAAAGAAATATTAACCCTGAAATATTAATTTTGGTTATTAATGATCAGCATTAATTAGGTAGGTATATTCATCAAAATCGCACCCCCGAAACTTTCAAATAAAGTTACCCACCCTTTTTATCAAACCAAGCCACTACTCTGACCTTCGCACTATGAAATAAATATAGGACATTTACAATCATAGCACAAATGTTTACTATATTTACATATCTCACCCCTACACTTTCCTATCTAATATCACATCAAAAATAGCAAATTCATCTTTTTCATGCTCCTGTAAATACGGATGTTATTGGAAGAGTTAGATATGTAAATACATAAAAAATTTGTGCTATGCATGCAAATTTCCCCATTATAATTGGCACCCATACAAATTAATGCGGTTCTGACCAAAGATTCTTGATTTGTCCCCATCCCAACATGCCATCTCAAACTGAATGCAGCTTTATTTCAATTCATTTTTATATTGCAGATACAATAAATATATTTACAGCTTAGTGAATTATGAATTTGCATAGCTTGAGATGTAATTAATAGTTTGCAGAAGGAAGAGAGGGGTATCAATTATTGCAATGTAAAACAAATTTATCTTCATGCCTCCTTTTATTACAGTATATAAATTTCAATAGTTGTAATTCAGAGGAACAAAAAGATTGAAAATGAATTTATATATTATTAATATCATCATATTAATAATGAGTTGGGTGTTCTAATATATATTGATAGTTAAACATTAATCTTAAAAATAATCAATATATGACATGTAAATTTACTCTTATTATCACAACAGTAATACATATTTTATATACTAAAAATATCAATATAAATTTCAAAGAGAACGAACAACAAAGATTAAAGGGTCTCATTTCGGAGAAAATATTGCATCAGGATTCTGCAAGTAGAGTTAGGTGCGGTAAAATAAGAGAATATTCCTCATGTGTTATTGTGTGTTATTCAGATGTTATTATGTGTTATTCATTATTGATATGTTATTGTGTTATTATAATACTGATAATATTCTCATAACATAATAACATATAATAACAAATGAATAACATGAGAGGAATATTCTCCTATGCTACCAGGTCAATTTTTTCTTCTGTCAACTTCACATGACGTGATTTCATTAGACTCCTAACGTAACTCTACGTGCGGAGTCCTGATGCAATATTTTTCCTCCTTTCGAGGTAACCAATCAACTGACGATCCAAGGCCTTGCATGAAGTTGCGTTTCCAAACCCGGTTTAAGTTCAAGCTCCAGAGATAGTTCCTCACTCGATAGCGACAATACCTGTTGAAAGTAAGGCGTGAATCATCCTGACAGCGAGTCTCCTCGGACACCCCACGTGGGCTAAGACAATATCATCTTGAGAACTTGCAATATTAGGAGATCTAGCCGAGATGACGAAACAATCATGCAAGGGAGACACAAGCTGGAGGAAAAATGAGTTGCGAATCACTACGAAAAAGGTCGGTTGATCACATTCGATCGAAGAACCCTGAGTATGGAACAAATGACCACCTCACAATAAACTGCTCCGGTCGACCATGCCAAAAGACACCAAATAAGATCGCCACACGACCAAACTCCTCGACCGACCAACACCTACTCCTAAGAGCATAGGGTCACTTTGTCGGTCACCTCAGTCAGTTGACTTCAAGCCAGCTCACCAACTTATTACTACGAATGTTGAAATTCAAACTGTAATACAAATATAACATAAAATTAATATAATCATTTAGCGTCTTAATAACATTTAAGAGATGTTTCATAATCTTTCAGGATGCTAAAACATGCATAAATGCAAATACTTTAACACTTCATTATATATTTCATATACATTTAACAAAACAAAGTTCCAGAACATTACTACTCATTTTAAAACATTATTAATTATTAAATTTATCCAGACTCGTAGTCTGTAGAACCCTAATTCTTCAGAGAAGGTAGGCAGTATTAACTCCATAGCCTGCCTACCTCCCTTCGTTGCCGGATTATCTCCCTACACAAAACCCTGCTGTCGCCTGCATTATCACTCCCGAAGCTCTGTCCCCCGCGTTCTAAAGGATTCTCTCTCCTCCCCCAAACGTACACCACCCTCCTTCCTGTCTCCACCCCTACCCCACTCGATCCGGATCCGGATCCGACCCACCAAGATCCGCATCTGCTATCATCGACTCCGCATCCCTCCACAGCCGCGCCGCCACCTCCCCGCTCGCCGCTGACTGCGCCTCCGCCGCCTCATTGCAATCCGCGTAGTACTTCCCGCTCGCACCCTCCACCGCCGGGCGCGCCGC